AAACGTGGGTGATGAATGGGGGAGACTTGCTCTGACGCACCATTCCTACCTCGTGATTCGCAGAGAAAAAGGCGTCTGTGACGTCACACTGCACCTTGGGCAGGGGGTATTGGCGTGTTACGCAGTATTTGGTTCATGGAACCAGGTCAATCTCAGGACGCACACCTCAATCCATGTACGATCGACGGCGGGTCTTCGGAGACGTTTTAAAATTCTTTTACCAAAGAATAGTACGCATCCGAGGGATCCTTCAGGATCGACGATCCACTTCGTGCGCTCAGCACCTTCTTATTGTCCTCCAGGACAGCTTCATCCAGAAGCGACGACGACTTCATCTCCACGTTCGGACTTATAATGACCACCTCGGCTAAATTCCGCCTTCAACGCACCGCCAAACTCTTCGAAGGACATCTCGTCCAGCTTCAAAGGACATCTCGTCTTGCTCGAGAAAAGCATCCACCGCGGAAATAGCCTCGGGGGCAACGTCGTCATCTTCCTCTCCCTTTAGACAGTTGACAAGGGTATATAGCATTGCACTATCGTCTACGGTAGACACACCCTGGTTCAGGGTCGACGCCCAGATAACATTCGCCGTCTTCTCTCAAAATAGGTCTTACGTCTTATCGAGACCAGTAGGAACACGCACTCGGCGTCGTCCAGTGTCTCCACTCCCTGTTTCATCGGAGCCTTGATGTTATTCACAACATCCGACAAAAAACTGCTGTTACCGCAGTCTTCGTTCAGTGGATGACGTGCCACTTCACGCGCATCAGAAGAGATGCCTCGGACCTTGTCCGACCATGCCACTCTTGGCATGCAGCAACTGCTTCGTAACGTGATCAGTGCTTAGTGGGTAACGTGTCACCCTACGTGCATCACTGGGGCCCCGCCCTCGATGCCTCGGCCCTTGGCCGACCAAGCTACTCTTGCATTGCAGCGACTGCTCCGATAATTGAGCAGTGCTCAATGAGTTACGTGCCACTATACGTTCAGCCCGCGAGCCACGCTCGAGACTTCTGCATAAAGCACCTCTGGTGTTCGACAGTTCGGATACTCCGATATCTAGCATATTGACCATACCGGTCTAGTGCCTGCTCCAATAGCGCTTCTGCTTCCTAGCAGAGGTGGGTTCATGACTGATCAGAGCTCCACTAGGAGACATGCGCGTAGCGCCCGAGGTCTTTGATCTCCAATCAATCCATGGCTCATATTGTTCCAATCATGCCTTACCAAGGATAAGGTCATGCTTAGATCCAAGTCTAAGACTTTACAGCGTTCCACGCTAACAAGTCAAGGAACTTGACACCGAGGTCCACAGAGACCCTCGGCACAGTGACACAAGTCCACGTCGCTACGAAAAGAGTGACGGTTCAACCGGGGTTCCAGCGCCGTAGCATACAGCTTACTTCCTTCGATCGTGGAGCGTCGTGCATAATTGCCCGACGCCCCGGAGTCGGTGATGATTTTCCTTGGCCTATCAAAGCACGGTCGCTTTTACGACCAGCAAGCTTGGCTTGCACACACGTTCCGTGCTCAAGATCACGCAGCTCTTCGGGGCTGGGCCCTGCTGCCCTCTACGCTTCTTGCACAGGGACAACCAGTCCGAAGGTGACGGGTGTCTCCACAGACAATGCACAGTCTGGTATTTAAATTCTACCAGGTAGCACGAAGCTCTCCCTCCTCTTTCTCAGCATAGCTGAGATTCAATGGCTCGGTTTGATCGACGAACTCTGAATGTGTGCATTCCAACCAAGTCGCGCCGTGCCGACTTTAAGTTGATTCGGCATTCAATGCCACATTCACCGCTTTTTCAATCAAAAGAAGACGGATGCACACGGAAGACTTCCATTCTGCT